AAAAAAAAAAAAAAAAAATATTACCTAAGCAACTATATTTGCTATCTTATTGGTTGATCGTAATTTTGACCCACGTTGTACCCACCTCATGATTTTGCTCTATTAAAACCTCCTTTGAGAGGTGGGCTCATTGGCAACCCATTCGGGGCCCCTCCTGTCTCTCAGGAAATTTTCCTATTCCTCGTTCCTCTCCTCCAATAAATTTTCCTACTCTTCACCTCTGTTATTCCTTAGAATTCATTCTTTGACTTCAGGGGACACAAACCCAGTATTCTGACATGTAGCATTTCCCCTATATCATTCCTAGAATTTATCCCTCAATTTCATTTATTTATTTATTTAATTAATTAATTTTTTTTGAAACAGGGTCTCACTAGATAGTTCAGGCTGGTTTTGAACTCGCTATGTAGCCCAGGCTGGCCTTGAATTCATGAGAGTCCTCCTGCCTCAGCCTCCCAAGTTCGGGGATTAAAGGCATGCACCACTATGCCTAGCCCATTCCTCGATTTCAGAGAACACGAGCTCAGTGTTTTGGACATGTAGCTGGTTGGAAGTTACAGTATTTCCCTTATATTACATCATACCGCCTATAGCACCCAGACCATTTCTTTGTTCATTTACTATTTTAACTGATGCTTATCTGTCTGTATTTTGCTAGATGTGAGAAATTCAGTAATTAGCTAGAAGGAAAATGTCTCTTTCCTAGAAATTCTCCCTTCCTTCCTTCCGTGGTACTAGAGATTGAACCCAGGACCTTTTCAAGGAGATACAGCTCTTTTTTGTTTTTGTTTTTGTTTTTTTCCAGTACCAGGAATCAAACTCACGACCTTGCACTTGCCAGGCAGGTGCTGTGCCACTGAGCTAAATCCCCAGCCTGCCCCCGCCAGCTCTTTTTTATTTTTATTTTGAGACAAAGTCTTACTAAATGGCTAAATTGCCTGGGCTGGACTTGCAGCTTGCAGTCCTCCTGCCTCAGCCTCCCAGAGAGCTGGAATTATAAGTATGCACCACCACACCTGGCTTCTTGAGATCTTTTCTGACTTGTGCCGTTCAACAGGGCCCCAAGGGATATGACAAATTCCAATGGGCAGAAGTGGCTGGGAGGCCGCCCATGGAACAAGAGTTTGATAAAGAATCCAGAGCAGAGCTTTGGGTGTGGTTCAGTGGGAGAGTACTTGCCTAGCGTGAGAAGGCCCTGGGCTCCAGCTCTAAGGCCCCCCCAAAAAGAGAAAGAGAAGTGAGCGCCCAGCCAGATGCTGCAAATGCAGGCCCCAGGCCCAGAGCCAGTCCTTTCCAGCTACAGGACTGAGAGTCACTCCAACTACTCACCTTGAAGTAGTGCCCTGAGGAGCTGCGGCACCCACACTGGGTCCAGGGGACACACTCAAGGTCACTGAGCACGAAGCCCGGGTTGCACTCGCAGGCCTCCACACACGGGCCCACGCACGGCTTGCTGGAGAAGGCTGGGTGGCAGGTGTTTGGGCACGGACTGGCGCACAGGGAGTACCTGCTGTTGCGGGGGCAGGCCAGGGCTGTAGAGCAGGGAGGGAGACACTCAAGTGAGGAGCAGACAGGTGGGATGGGGGAGGCAATGATGGTGTGCACATGCAATCCCAGCACTTTGGGAGGCTGAGGCAGGAGGATTGCAAAATCAAGCCCAGCCTGGGCAACTTAACGACTTACCAAGATCCTGTCTCAAAAAAGAAAAAAGAGGGGGGGGCATATAGCTGAGTGTGAAGACCCTCGTTCCAATCCCTAATACCACAAAAATAAGTAAGAGAGAGAAAGCAACCCAGCCAGCTTTCGGGGTTTGCAAGTGACCGTGATGTGCTCAGGGATGTCTCCAGCTCTGCCCACCGCCCCGTCTTCACGCGGAAGTGTGTGTGGGAGGTCTCAGCACATGTACCACCTCGCCTGGCTTCGATGCTAGCCCTGTGTATTATTTGATGATGGACCTCACGCAGGCTAAGTGCCTACCCTCCTCTCCAATCAAGCCCGCTTTTTATGCCCTGTCTGCATCTGAAGGTCCCACATCGTCTCCCCTGATTCCAGACACAACTCACGGCAGAACTGGGGTCCTCTCCAGGGCTTCACGGGGTAGCCAGCATCCTGGCAGGCCGCAGTCATGGCCGACAGGTGGGCACACAGCATTGCCCGGAGCCCTTGGAAGCGGCACAGGTCCAACATGCAGTTGTCGAAGAAGGGAGAGGCCTTCATGTGCAGCAAGCAGGCCCTGGGCGAGAGGCTGGGTGAGCAGGAGGGAGCTCGGTTTCCTGCCCCCCGGGGGACCCCCTGCCCCCTGCCCTCCTCCTACTCAAATGGTCCTCTGGAGTCCACCAGGCCGCCGCAGAACCTGGGCCCCGAAATGGTACGCTTCAAGACCGCGTCGCAGGTCGGGAGGTCTTCCTCGTTCTGCAGGCACCTGGAAAACACAAAGCCCAGCGCTCAGGGCCAAGGCTGGCCTCCCTCTGAAGCCCCAGCCAACAGCTACTCTGGTGGCAGGATTGAGAGGACAGTGGAACCCTCAGCCCGAAGAGAGGGGCTACACCTGGGGTCTCCAGACAGGCAAAAGGAAAGAGACAATGCTACTCAGTTGTGGTTTCTCTGTTTTTTGAGACAGGGCCTTTCTCTGTTGCTCAGACTGGCCTCGAAGTTGTGGGCTCAAGCGATCCTCCTGCCTCAGCCACCTCAGTAGGTTGTAGTGGGTCTTAGAAGGCAGCAAAGGCCAGGAAGGTGGAGAAGGGGACCAGGCCACCCCATGAGGGCTCCTTACTTACTCCTGGTCCTCATCCTCGGCTACCTGCCAGCTGTTCCCCAGCTCCTCATCATCCTGTGCTGGGTTACCATTTGGCTTCAGGTTGTCGTTGCTGCTGTCCCCATCATAGTTGCCACAGAAACCGCAGAGTTTGCCAGCATAGGTACTGTGGGGCCCGGGAGGGGGTGGCATGAATCAGGGAGGAGGTGTTCAGCCATCTGAGGGGTCCCAGTGAGGGAAGGCGCGAGGGGGATTAAGAGGTACCTACTCCTGCCAGGCATGGTGCTGTACACCTATAATCCCAGCAGTCTGGGAGGCTGAGGCAGGAGGATCCCAATTTCACGCATAGCCTGGATGTGCAACTTAGCAAGGGCTGGGGGTGTAGCTTAGTGCAAAGGCCCTGTGATCAATCCCCAGTTCTGCAGTAAAGGGGGAGAAAAAGTACCTACTCTGGCATGGACTCCACGCCAGGTGCCGGCCCCATGAGGAGTCTGTGGGCCTTACCCTGAGCTGTCTCTACGTTCTCTCTGTGCCCCTGCTGCTCACCCACAAGGTTATCCAGCCATGAAACACCCCCAGCTGGCCCTAAATCACTCCAGCTGGTTTTTGCACGTGCTGGTCACTGTTTGGATAAAGTCTGTCCATTTCCCTAAAGAGCAGGCCCGAAGAGGAGCCTGTACATGATCCTCGCAGCACAGGCCCAAGCTCTCTGTGCGTGCACATCCCTCCACCCGCCTCCCTGACCCAAGGGCGCTCGCAGCTTCCTGCCTGTTGCGGGGCCCCGACGTGGCTGAGCATTAGTGCCTGGAAGGGAAGGTTACATGGCAGGTGAGAGCCCAGGAGCGGGGTGCACAGCTGGCAAAGCAGCTGCCCAACGGGGCCAGCCCTCACCTGGACACAGTGACAAACAGCTGCTGCTCGCCGTCCCACCTCACGTGCAGACCAAACGCAGTCTGCAGCTCCACAAATCGCCCGCTTGGACTCACAAAGACACCTTTAGCAGGCATGGCTGGCAGGGTGACTCTTTGGTCCCCAACCTGACAGAAGGAAGGGCAGGAAGAGGGGAGAGACATTGATCTGGAGGTCAAGGAGGACCTGGGACGCCCATATCTGCAACTGGCAGGCACGACATCCTCCACAGCACCCTACGCGGGTCTGTCCCTCGGCCGGCCCAGGGATGGCAGGGTGGCCTGGTGGCCTCCCCAGAGACGCGCGGGCACGGGGCTCACCATTATGCGTCGGCCTTTGAGGAGAGTGACGGTGGTCTTAGACAGAGTAATGTAGACCTTGCTCAGGCAGGACACACCTTCCTGTCCCCGGTACTCATTCTTTGCAGTCACCCTGAAGAATGGCTCTGGGTGGAGACAGGAAGAAAGAGAACCCAGGGACTCATTCAGTGATCTTTTTGTTTTCCCAGTGCAGTACCAGGGATTGAACCCAAGGCTTCTGCACTGAACTACACCCTCAGACCTTTTTTTTTTTTTTTTTTTTTTTCCGGTACCAGGAATTAAACTCAGGACCTTGCGCTTGCCAAGCGCTTGCCCCTTGTGCCACTGAGCTATATCCCTGCCCCCGACCCCCAGACCTTCTTTATTTTCATTTTATTTTGAGAAATGGTCTCCCTACGTCACTAGGCTGCCTAGGCTGGGATTGAATTTGGGACCCTCCTGCCTCAGCCTCCTGAAGTGCTGGGGTGACAGGCATGTACCACCACACCCAGCTGACAAATGATAGGTTACACTGCACTTTCTCTAGAGCTCTAAGGCTGACAGCCTGCCTCGGGGCAACAGGGCAACCTCTGCCTTACAGAGGACACTGCTTCAGTGCGGTCTCCTGTACCCACCTGCTCCCATCCAGGCTCTGCCACCCACAGTCCCCAGTGCCCAGCAGTTTTGACCCCCAGGCCGTGGCTGGCACCCAAAGGCCTTACCTGTGGAGTTGTGGCAGGGCTGGGCCAAGATGTACGTGCATTTGCCCGTGAAGGCTATGTGCCTCTCGTCAAAGGTGACGTAATGAGGGTCTCCATACACCAAGCAGGTGGCAGTGCCTGCCGAGGAGACGGGGGACCCAGAAGCTGCTTCCCACAGCCGCCTCAGGCTGGGCCCACATCCCGGCTTTCCTGCCTGATGACACAGCAGCTCCTCCACTCCAAGGAGGGCATAAGACCCTAGTGTCAACCCCTCAGTAGCAGGCAGGGAGGGAGGCACTCACCATATGGGTGGCATCCATACTGGGCATTCTTCAGCTGGCACACAGTGTGTGTCCCACACTGAGAGGGCTGGCACTCCATCCTGCTGCCCGGCCAGCAGCTGCAGCGCTTGGTACAGTTGGGGCTGAACCACTTCTCCCCAGGCTGGGAGCAAGGAGTCCAAGTCACAAAGCTGTATCTCTCAAGTCCTTCTGTCTAGACTTCTCCCTCTGAGTCCCATGTACACATAAACGCACTCCCATGGCCTCTCTCCACCACCAACCTGACAGTCCCTGACAGCCACAGGACATTTGCACAGGCCACACTTGAATCTCTGCTTGCTCTTCCCTTCCTGTTTTTCCTGTTCCCTGGCAACCAGCATACTTCAGCTCAAGGGCGCTGCCTTAGGAAGACATCTGAGACCTCCCAACCAGGTGACCCTCATTACTCTGGGGACTGTCCTTCTGAGGACTGACCTACCACAACTGTACTTTTACGTTTATTTTTGTGACTGATTGTAAGCATCCAGGTAGAGACTGTCTTTACTCCCCATCTTGACCCGGGCATGTCACAACAGACAGCTGTCACTCAGTAAGTCAGTGAAGATCCCATGTGCCCCCTCTGAGTCTGGAAGCATTCGTGTGTTTGTTTGTTTGCTTTTTAATTTATGGTCCTACGGATTGAATCCAGGGCTTTTACACTGAGCTACATTCCCAGCTCCCCACTCTCACACCTGCTCTTTTTTTGAGACAGGGTCTTGCTCTGTAGTGCAGGCTGGCCTTGGAATCATGATGATCCTTCTGCCTCAGCCTCCCAAGTACTGAGATTACAGGTGTGTGCCATTATGCCTGCCTATCTATAATAGATCTATCTGTCTATCTGTCTATCTATCTATCTATCTATCATCTATCTATCTATTTATTTATCTATCTATCAACTGACAGGGTTTTGCTATGTCACTAAATTCCCCAGGCTGAGTTCCAACTATCGATCTTCCTGCCTCAGCCTCCTAGACTGCTGAGATTACAGACATATACCACCACAGCAGGCTGGGAGCATCAGAAATGCAAGATGCCTACCCTATTTATGAGGAGCCCGTTGCCAGGGTGGCAGAAACTGCTACACAGCAGAGATTCATGGCACACATTGATGCCTGTGCTAGTTAACGCTGCCCCCCGGGCAGGGGAAGACAGCCCTGAGGCTGGTGTTGTGCGCTGTCCACCCAGGCAGCAGTGAGCCGATCCTAGCAGCGACTCCACTTGGCACACCAGGAGGGGGCTAGAGGGGCTGCGGAGAAGCCGGTCCCTGGGGAGGTCGGCAAAAGCTCTGCCACCAGAGGGCAGGACAGACACCTGCCGCTGAGACATGGCTCTGGACACTAATGAGTAGCTTACTGCACTTTTAATTAACAGGTTGTATATGATATTTATCACAAACCATGAATGCCAATAACGAACATTTATTAAGTAATTAGTACTATGTCAGAATCTAATTTCACTCAGACAGCAATCTTATATGAGGCAGGAAATCTCACTTTGCACACTTTCACAGATACAGAAACAGAATAAAAATGGTAAAAAGTCAAGTGTGGTGGGGCAGGCCTTTAATCCCCACCCTCTAGGAGGCTGAGGCAGGAGAATAGCAAAGTCAAACCCAGCATAAGCAACTCAGCTACTCAGCCACAAAGTAAACAATAAGGGCTGGGATATAGCTCAGCAGTAAAGTGCCTGCCTGGCAAGCATGAGGTTCTGAGTTTGATTCCTGGTACCAAAAAAATAAATAAATAAAATAAATAAATAAATAAAATAAAAATTAAGAAGAGGGGTGGGGATGCAGCTCAGTGGGGAGGCCTTGGGTTCAGCTCCCAGTGAGGTAAAGTAACTTGCTCAGGGCCACTTGGCAAATGGATGCTGCAGCCCAGGTTCAAGCTCAGGTCTGCCAGGCTGGAGATTGGTCCAGTTTTCTGGCCACCAGCCACCAGCCACCGGCCAGTCCATGTAAGGCTGCTGAGCTCTTGGAATGTGGTCCGTCCAAAATGACAAAGGCAGCCGGGCGTGGTGGCGCACGCCTGTAATCCCAGCACTTGGAGGCTGAGGCAGGAGGATCGTTGCAAGTTCAAGACCAGCCTGAACTACAAAGTGAGCTCAAGGCCAGCCTGAACTGCATAGCGAGACCCTGCCTCAAAAAGACAAAAAAAAAAAAAAAAAAAAAAAGACAAAGGCACAATGTATAGTATACACATCAGATTTTGAAGATTTAATACAGGGCAGGGAATGCAAATGTAGACCATCTCACTGGTAATCTTTTCCTCATACTAAGCATTGAACCCTTCCCATTGACCTACACCTCCAGCCCCTCCCCTGCTTTTTTTTTTTTTGGTATCAGGAATCGAACTCAGGACCTTGCACTTGCTAGGCAGGCGCTGCGCCACTGAGACATATCCTTGGCCCTGCTTTTGGTTTCTTAACCCTCCTGCTTCTGCCTCTTGAGTGCTAGGATTATAGGTGTGTGCCACCATACCTGGCCCCAGCCCTTTATTATTTTTTATTTTGTGACAGGGTCTCAGTAAGTTACCCTAAGGTTAGGTTCAAATCTGCTTGTATTACAGCTATGTGCTACCATCCCCAGCTTTTTTGTTTTTGGGTGTGTGTGTGTGTGTGTGTGTGTGTGTGTGTGTGTAAGCGATGGCCTTGCTTGTGATATGATAGGTAAGTGCTCTATCCCGAAGTTATACTCCCAGCCCTAATTATAGGAATATTAAGACTGAAAGAAACATTTAGCACAGGACTACGGGTGACTGGCTCTTCGGTACAGCTGCCCATGACATTGGGCCAAGGTGAAAGCTTAACCAAGATCATAATATGAGCAAAGAAGGTCATCAAAGAGCACATACTGAGCCAAGGGTGGTACCTGTATTCCCAGCACTCAGGCAGCTGAGGCAGGAGGATCACCTGGGCTACATAATAAGTTTAAAATCAGCCTAAACTACACAGCAAGACCCTCACTGAGCACAGCCTTGAACTAGCCCTCTGGACTGTCCAAGTTCATCTCACCCCGGAAGCAAATGCGGCAGGGCCCAGGTGTTCCATCTCAGCCCCATCAGGAGCGGCAGCGGCCCGGCTCACTTACCTTATAGCTCTTATCGCCGTAGATGCAGTTGCAGGACGAGGCATTGATGCACTGGCTGGCACTGAGCAGGAAGCCAGGATTGCAGACGCAGCCCGGCTGGCAGAGCAGCCCGCAACTGGGCTTGGGGCTCTCACAGGACGCTGGGCACGCACAGGGCTCGTAGTGGGCATCTGAGGGGCAGCTCACTGAGGGAAGACACAGCCTCCATCAAGCCTCTGCTCCATAGCTGCTCCCAGGAGCCTCTCTGACCATGCCCCAGCCCTAAACTTCAGTTCCTCCCTAAAAAGGAGGCACATATTGTTCCGAAAGGAGTGAGGTTCTGACCCAGGTACACAGTTAGGGTCCGGTTCTGAGGACATCGGCTCAGTGACAAAGCCTGGCACAAAGGCTCCCACCTTGTATGTACAGGAAGTGTCCAGGACAGGTTGTGGGAAGATTAGTATCACCAGGGCCTCAGGAGATGGAATAATAGAGAGTGACTGCTGAGGGAGAAGAGATTTGCTTTTTTTTTTTTTGGTACAGGGAACCTGAACTCAGGACCTTGAGCTTGCCAGGCAGGCACTTATGCCACTCAGCTATGTCCCCAGCCCCGAGATTTGCTTTGGGGATGATGAAAATATCTGGAACTAGAAAGTGATGATGGGCCAGACAATGGGGTACACACCTGGAATCCCAGTACTCTGAGAGGCTGAGGTAGGAGGATAACAAATGTGAGGCCCAGTCTGTTCCCAGTACCAAAAAAATAAATAAGTAAATAAAATAAAAAAGCCAGAGGCCCAGTCTGGGCAATTTAGTGACTTAGAGTCTGTCTCAAAATAAAAAAACAAACAAGGGCTGGGGATACAGCTGTGTGAAGGCCCTGGGTTCCAACCCCAGTACCACACACACGAAAAATGATGATGGTTACACTACCTTTGGAATACATTTAAAAGCATTGAACTGTACACTTTAAAAGGGTGAGGGGCCAGGTGTGGTAGTGCACACTGTAATCCCAGCACTCAAGAGGCTGAGACAGGAGGATCAAAACAAGTTCAAGGCCAGCCTGAACTACACAGGAAGACCCTGTCTCAAAAAACAAAACAGGGGTGAGGGCTTAGAGGTGCAGCTCAGTGACAAAGCATGAGTTTAGCATGGGGTGAGGCCTAGATTCCATCTTCAGCACACGAAAAGGGTGGGAGGGAGCAAACTGTGTAGTAAACAAACTACATTTCTGTTTTAAAACGTAAGAAGAGGCCAGGCGTAGTGGTGCATGCCTGTAATCCCAGCACTTGGGAGGCTGAGGCAGGAAGATTGTTGCGAGTTTGAGGCCAGCCTGGGCTACAAAGTGAGCTCAAGGCCAGCCTGAACTGCATAGCGAGAGACCCTGTCCCAAAAAGACCAAAAACAAAAAAACAAAAAAACAAAAAAAACAGAAAACAAAAAAAAAAAACCCTCAAAAAAACAAATCATAAGAAGAGACCAGGTGTGGTAGCGCACACCTGTCATCCCAGCATGCTGGGAGGCTAAGGCTGGGGGATGTAAGTTCAAGACCAGCCTGGGCAACTTAGTGACTTACTGAGACTCTGTTTCAAAATAAAAAATAAACACGAGCTGGGGATGCAGCTTAGTGTGAAGCTCCTGGATTCCATCCCCAGTACTGAAAAAAAAAAGACAGGGGCGGAGGAGAGCAGCTGTGTTTGGTTCCCACGGTCACCCTCTCCTACCCTGCTGTCTCCAGCTCAGGAGGGGCCTGGATCGCTCTCCACTGAGACAACTACAAGAGCCTTTCCCTTCTCTCAGCCTTGTGCCCAGTGCCTATCCCCTCCTACCTGGGAGGGGGTTTCTAGTGGTGGCAGGCGCCATGTTGGTCATGGAGGCATTTGGAGTTTCCGGAGGCATCGCCATGGCTGTTGGCACAGTGGGCGGGAGAGTGGAGCTAGGGCAAGAGGGTGGACACACTTTGGGCTTTTTAGTGGGGATGATGGGTTTTTCTGTGGGGACACTGGTCTCTTCAGTGGAGGTGGAGGGGTTTTCTGTGGGGACAGTGGTCTCCTCAGTGGGGGTGGAGGGTTCTTCTGTGGGGACGGTGGTCTCCTCAGTGGGGGTGGAGGGTTCTTCTGTGGGGACAGTGGTCTCCTCAGTGGGGGGGGTGGTATTTTCAATAAGAATGGTGGGTTGTTCTATGCGGACAGCAGGTTCTTTGGTGGGGATGGTGGGTCCTTCTGTGGTAATGATGGTCACTTCAGTGAGGACAGCAGGCTCTTCGCTGGAGGCAGGGATGTTGTCAGCAGGAATGGTGATCTCTGCCAGGTGGAGGGTGGTCTCCTTGGGTGGGACAGTAGTTTCTTCTACAGCGACAGTGGGTTTCTCAGTGCAGACAGAGAGTTTCTCATTGCAGACAGTGGTTTGTTCAGTGGGTACAGTGGGTCCTTCTATGGGGATTGCAGGTTTTTCTGTAGAGACTACTGGCTCTTCTGTGGGGAAAGTGGTAGGAAGCACTGCTGCTGGCACCGGTGCTGCAAAGAAAAAGAAATCCTTGAATTCAGTCAAAATCATACCCCCTCTTTATTCACATCAAATCAGGGTGGGCGAGCCAGGTGTGGTGGCGCATGCCTGTAATCCCAGCACCCGGGAGGCCGAGGCAGGAGGGTTGTTGCAAGTTCGAGGCCAGCCTGGTCTACAAAGTGAGCTCAAGCCCAGCCTGAACTGCATAGCGACACACCCTGTCTCAAAAAGACCAAAATAAAAAACAAAAAAACCTGGAGTGAGTGGGCATGGAGAGGCAACTTAGTAACCTTTCCTTCAACACTCCAACCCAACTGCCTTTCACTTCACTAACACTCAACAAACAGTGCTCCCAATGTATGTCGGGTACTGTGTGGGGCACAAGAAACATGAAAACAAACAGAATATTCATCCTATCTTTATGAATGCTAGGTAAGGGGTTCTGGATCCAATCCCAGAAATCTATGGTATCAAAGACAGGTTTACCCGTCAAGCATGGTAGCACATTCCTGTAATCCCAGCACTCTGGGAAGCTGAGGCAGGAGGATTGCAAATTTGAGCCCATCTTGGGCAATTTAGTTAGACCCGATTTAAAAAACAAAAAAAGGGGGGGCTGGGGATTTAGCTCAGCGGCAAAGCGCCTGCCTGGCAAGCGCAAGGTCGTGAGTTCGGTTCCCGGTACCGGAGAAAAACCAAAAAAAAAAACAAAAAAAGGGAGTGCAGCTCAGTGTAAAGGCCCTTAATTCAATCCCCCATACCATACAACACACACACACACTCATGCATGCACACAGGCACACACAAGACGTCTTTCCTCATGTAAGCTCCTTGATGGTACAAGGGAGAGGGAGGTGGACAGGGGATAGAAATCACATAAGTTGTGTGGAACTCTTGGCAAGAGGATTTATTTTTTCTTTTCTTGATACTGGGGATTAAAACCAGAGCCTTTACACTGCACTACATCCATGGTGCTTTTTATTCCCTTTTTTTTTTTTTTTTTTTTTTTTTTTTGGATACCAGCTCTCACTAAGTTGCTAAATTGCCCAGGCTGAGCGTGAATTTTCAGTCCTCCTGCCTCAGCCTCCCAGATGGCTAAGCTTACAGACCTGGGTCAGCTGAGGGCTTGCACTTCACATAGTTCATACACAGATAGCCAAGGTGGTCACGTAGGGTGTGGCTCTTCCTGGGGCCTTGAGTGTCCCCTTACCTCGACAAGTCCCTTGACTGATCAAGATGAAACCCACAGCAACCACAAAGGCAGCATTGCTCCCCTGGATGGCCTCCAAAATCAGCTGAAAGCAATATGGGACAGAAGGGAAAATGAGGCTGGATGTGGTGGCACACATCTATGATCCCAGCACTTGGGAGGCTGAGGCAGGAGGATTGCAGCAAGTTCAATGCTGGCCTGGGCTAAAAAAAGGAAAATGAACCCCTGCCAACTCAGCAACCCTTTGGGGCCTGTCCCTGCCCAATGCCACTGGGGTGGAGTCTCAACAGTCCCAGCCATCCCTGCCCCGCTAGACCATGCCCACACTGTTACCTGCATAGGCTGCTGGTGTCCCGAAGGGATGGTGACAGAGGCATTCAGCCAGTGGGGCTTCTGAGACCCAATGAGCTCCCACAGCAGGGTGGGGGTGCTGCCCGCGGGGCTCCCCAGCAGAAGCCTGAGCGCAGCGCCGTCTCCGAGACCGTACATGTGGTATGAGAACTCCACGCAGACGTTACCCGGGGCACAGAACGGCCGGCTCACCAGCCTCGAGGACTGTCCCTCCCGGGAGGACCTGTCCGTCTCCAGGTAGATATAGTGCTCACCTAGCAGAAGAGGGGGACAGCTGAGATAAGACTCCTCTGCCGGAGCCATGCCTGGCTTTCTGCATGGCATCTAAGCAGACAAATGAATGTCCTATCCATCGCATTATTCTCTGCCCATGTTGGAGTTCTTGTTTATTTGTTTGAGCTACTAGAGATTGGACCTGGGTCCTTCACACTGAGTTATATCCCCAATCCTTTTTCACTTTTTAATTCCGAAACAGGATCTGCCTAAGTCACTAAGTCACTCAGACTGGGCTTGAACTTGCAGTTTTCCTGCCTCAGCCTCCCTGAATGCTGGGATTATAGGCCGGTACCTCACACCTGACTCCATGTTGGATTTCTACCTGAAAATGGCAGGAAAGAAAGCGAAAACCAAACCTCCAATCCACCACCTGCAAATGTCTTGGCTAAAAATGAGGTAGTAGAGTTTAAAGCTTTGGGCTCCATGGAGTGGGAGGGCTAGATTTTCTTGAGTGAGGGCAGCACTCGGTGATCCCTCGGCCGCAAGCATCCTCGACCAAATCTGTGGCGCTGTCTTCAGTCCAGCTCAGGGCAGTTTCCCAGCAAGCATCTGCCAGCGGCTGGCGCCTTCTCCAACATCCGCCTCCTCCCATGGCACCCGGCAGCCCTCGCCAGCCTCAGCCTCCTCACCTCCATACAGGGCCTCTCCGAAGGGGCCTACAACATTGGCAGACATGTTTTCACTTCCCCGGGCCCACTGGCCGCTGTCCTCTGATCCGCGGGTCCAGTCACAGAAGGGATGAGTACTGTCTTCAAAGTCACACTGGGGAAAGGTCTCTGGTGGGTGCGAGAGGGAGGCTGGAGAAACTCCGGCCCGCTCCCCGCTGTTCCCCGCCCCCTCCAGTTCTGGGGCTTCCACTCTCACCGCCACAGGGAGCAATGCTGATTTCATCCACCGCCACCGCGGGCTCTGGGATCTCGCCGAACACGCCCACCAGGCTGAACTGCAGAGAGAGGGAATGAAAGCCCCCACGTGACCTTCCCACCCGAGGACCCAGGTCCCTCCCTGCTCCTGGTGCCCTGACCTTCAATTTCCTTCAACATCCGGGGAACCTGGGCCCGACCCTTTGTCTCTCTGTACCTCGATCTGTCCTTGTCCTGTATAGTTAACAGAAACAGGATGCCAGGTAGCCCTGGGTTCTCCTGAGAAGAGTGTGTGTTTCCGGATGCTGCCTACAATGGAAAAAAAAAAAAAAAAAAAATCAGCGATACAGCCAGCTGTGGTGGCACACGTCTCTAATCCCAGCACTCTGGGAGGCTGAGGCAGGAGGATGGTAAGTTTGAACCCAGCCTGGGCAACTTAGCAACTTAATGAAACTGTCTCAAAATTAAAAATAAACAAAAAGCCCAGGGGTGTAGCCCGGTGTAAAGGCCCTAGATTCAAATCCCAGTATCAAAGAAAAATAAGAACATAAAAAAATAAAAGAATTGGACACATAAGTTTAAAGAGAGTGAGAAATTACTTCGAACCTGCACCCCAGGGGTTAAATCACAGAAGGAACCCTTGGATAATATTCCCTACATGCAAGTAATCCTCCTCTCTTGCTCTCATGGCACCTTTATTTTCCTACTATCCAGTGACCTCTACATATCTCAGACTCCGCTCCACCGTGAGGCTCGCCAGCGCCCCCTGTCAGCCCGACCCTCGAAGATGCACCCTGCTCGGTGCAAACCCAGCCATTTCTCCCCTCTGACCTGAGACCGAGCCGTAGACCAGGAGGGCTGCGCCTGGGGCCTGGGCCCACAGGATGTAGTGAAAGGACAGCGTCAGACAGCCGGTTGAGTGACTCAGCGGGCTCAGGAGGACCGACCTCTGGCCCGGCTTGGCGTTCTTAGGATCCAGGAGCATGTAGTAGCCACCTGCAGAAGGAGAGGCCTGGGAGGCGGGAGGGACGCAGCGATGGGGCCCCAGGAGGATGTGGACCTGGCTCTGGGGAGTCTTGCAGCCGCCTGGAATCAGGTAGCACCAAGGTAGGGCTACATCCACATCATCACTGACTGAGACCGTCAAGCCTTCCAGGGGTGACCAGACTGGGGTGAGGAGGCCGGTGCTACCACAGGGAGCCGGGTATCCTTTCAGAAGCAGCAGCCAGACTCTTGTCCTTGATGGCCCTTGCTGTGCCTCAAGCCCCTCCTTCCTCCACAGCTCTGTTACTACCTCAGGGCCTTTGCACAGCCTGCCCATCTGCCTGGAGACAGGGTCTTGTTATGTAGTTAAGGCTGGCCTCAAATTTGCAGCGATCCACCTGCCTCCTACTCTGGAATGCTAGGATTACAGGTGTGTGTCACCTTGCCTGTTTTGCACACTGATTCTCAAGTGCCCAGGACACTACCTGGCACACTACAGACAAGGAGAGAATGCGTGGAGAACAGACAGTGCCAGGCAGTGGAAGGGAGGAGCAGGCAGGGCTGCATCAGCCAAGCAGCAAGGGATGGATGGCAGTCTGGGAACCCAGGGGAGAGGTGCTTGGAGTCTGCTTCCTGCCAGGAAACCTGAGCTATGAGAGGCTGAGGTTTCCGGGCTTCACGAGAACTGGCCACAGCAGCTGCTGTGAGGTGCAGAGAGGTCACTGCGAGACAGAAGCACGGTCATACTCACTACCAGGGCTGGAGAAGTCGTCGTCCGGCCCTATGCCCGGCTGCCCCGATGGTCCCTTCCACTGGCTCCACTTGGCCCCAGAGGCCGTGGGGACCCAGCTCCAGCCACAGAGATCATCTAAGGTGTCGAAGCTGCACGTTTGCATCACGCAGACTGCGGGGCAGGGAGGAAGGAAGGACGGAAGGCACCATGCAGCTTTCTCTGAGAGGCGGCGGCTTGAGGAGCGACGGCCAGGGTGGAGGCCCAAGCCTGAGTTCCAGCCTCCGCCCCACGCTGAGCCACGGCCTGCTTCGGGGCCAGAGGGGGCCCCACTGCCTGCTGGCTTGGTCCCTGACACCTCCTAACCTTTCTACCAACCAGCACACCAGTGCCTGGCGTGTGGACCACAAGCCAGGTCATGAGCATGGGAAGCCCAGCCCGGTGCCTGTGCCCAGTGAGCCTGGGCTCCCTCCACCCAGCTCTGGAATTGGCCTGTGCTTGAGTTTGTGCCCCTTGAATCTGTGAGGTCGGCCTAGAGGTCTCATTCTGGACCCACTGGGGGAGCAGTAACAGCAAGAGGGACCTCTCAACCAGGTTTCCCTGGAATGGAGGAGAGGGCTTCCTGAGGGGTGGGATTCTTTCTTTTTTCCTTTTATGTGGGGTGGTAGTGGTGGTTGGGGATTGAACCCAGGACCTTTGCACTAAGCTGCATCCCCATCCTTTCATTCATCAATTTTTTTTTTTTTTTTTTTTGACACAGAGTGTTGCTAAATTCTCCAGCAGGACTCAAACTTGCAATCCTCTTGCCTCAGCCTCCCAAGTGCTAAGATTACCGGCCTGTGCCACCATGGCCAGCTTGACCATGGGACTTTCCACGCTCAGATAGAGAGTGCCCGGGCACAGCTGGAATGGTTGGTCACTCCAGACCGTATGTCCCACGGCTCCTCGTAGAGTGAGGCTGCATCAGGGACGTCAGGGTGGGAAGGAAGGGCCGCCGCGGGCAGTTTTGCAGGGGGCCGGGGAGAAAGAGCCCAGGAGGCACGGAGAGAGAGGGACTCACCCTGATTGCAGGTGCCCCGACGGATGGAGAGGGCATCCAGAGAGATGTCCAGGTAGGCTGTGCTGCCCCTCACCCCCTCAAACACCAGCTGCGGGACAGAGGACGAGGGGACCCCCGGTCCTGTGAGGCCACAGCTTTTGCCTCTGCTCCGAGAATTCCGGCGGCCCGGCCCATGCCCACCCTGTCACAGCCCATCCCGTGGGCCCCAGCTCCCCACGGTGGAGAGGCTTTTGTACCGGGCCTCACCTGGCTGGGTGGGGAGAGCTCCACGGGGATAGTGACTGCGGTGGGCATCCAGGAGGGGCTCTCGGTGTTCTCGAGTTTCCAGAGCACAGTGGGCCGGGCATTCTGCGTGCCGGGGAGCAGCAGCAGCCGCAGCTGCGTGCCCCACGACAGCCCAAACACGTGGTAGGCAAAGCGCAGGCACAGGGGCCCGGCCTCCCACAGCACCGGGCTGAGCAGGCGCGCCACACCACCGCGGGGGAAGCTGCCCGGCTCCATGTGCAGGTAGTGGCCCTCTGGGAGAGGCTGAGTCAGGATGCTGCCAACCAACCGGTCCACCGCCACCCAGTGCTGCCACGTCCACCCCAGCTCAGTGCCCGGGTCCACTCCCAGCAGCCCTCACCCACCCGCACCCCCTTTCCCCAGGGTCTCCTGGCCCCTCACCTCCATTGGGGTAGCCCCCGGGGGGCCCAGAGGTACCAGTCGGGGCGAGCCCACTGGTACGAATCCAGTCACCGTCATCTGCGGACACTTGGGACCAGTCACAGAAGGGCTTGGAGTCATCCTCAAAATCACACTGGCTGAGGATGGCTAGGAGAAAGCGTGGCAGTTAGGTCCAGAAGAGGGCAGAGGGCAGAGCGGGGCCAGACCACAGTGCGCTGGGCCGGGATCGCTGCACTCAGAGACCTCCCCGCCACTGAGATTTGGGCCCCATGCGGGGCCTGGCACACCTGTAATTCCAGCACTCTCAGAGGTTGAGGTAGGAAGATGGCAAGTTCACCCAACCTGCACAAATTAGCAGCTTAGCAAGAACTTGTCTCAAAATAAAAAATAAAATGGGCTGGGGATGTAGGTCATTGGGAAGGCCTGAGGTTCCATCCCAGTCCTGCAAACAAGCAAACCAACCACGAAACCAACAAGCCACCCTGTGCTGCCACGCCACGGTTTATCTGTCCAGTAGAATCAGCTCCTACCTCAGTGTACCACCCTGACCTTGTGATTCTGCCCACCCCACTGCCCATCTATAAATGTCTCTTCAAAGATTCTGCCTCCCAAATCTCTGCTCTGGATCATAATTTTTTTTTTTTTTATACTGGGGATTGAATTCTAGACCTTTGCCATGAGATATGTCCCCAGCCCATTTATTTGTTTATTTATTTATTTATTTATTTATTTATTTATTTATTTATCTGTATTTTGTCTTTTTTGAGACAGGGGCTCACTATGCAGTTCAGGCTGGCCTCGAGCTCACTTTGTAGCTGAGGCTGGTCTTGAACTCGCAATGATCCTCCTGTCTCAGCCTCCCAAGTGCTGGGATTACAGACATGCGCCACCACGCCCAGAGTTTTATTTGTATTTTGAAAGAATCTTGCCAATTTACCTAGGCTGGGCTGGAAGTTGCCATCCTCCTGCCTCAGCCTCCCAGGGCTTTGTTTCTCTACCATTCCCTCTGCCCTCTGTTGGCCAAGGGCTGGCATTTGCACATTTCTTCCATGTTTATGTCATTGCCCTGCCCCAGGGGAACCTGTGAGGCCACCTGGGCTAGGGACTGGCATGAGGCACCAGAACAGGTTTCCTGAGGAGGAAGAGAAGGCTCAAACAGTCTGGATCCCAACTCACAGTTGTCCCTTGAGCTCGGAGCAACTAATTCCCAGTCCGGTGACTTCTGTGTGCTTGGCTCTGGTCTGGAGAAAAAAAAAAAATGTCACTCTTGTCACTATCAAGAATTCTAAGCCAGGCTGGTAGCACATACTTATAATCCCAGCACTCAGGAGGCTGAGGCTGGAGGATCGTTGCGAGTTCGAGACCAGCCTGGGCTACAAAGTGAGCTCAAGGCCAGCCTGAACTGCATAGTGAGACCCTGTCTCAACAAGACAAAAAAAAAAAAAAAAAAGAGAATTCTAAGACACAATCGTGAACCGTGGAGAGCTTGCTTACTGGTGCTTTCTCCTTTTTTTCTCCTTCTACTCCTCAGTGTTTGGGCAGGGAATGTAAACTACCTATCTTGCATGATTTGGGGAAGGCCATCCACAGCCTCCTCACCTGAGGTTCTCACTGGTTTCCTAAAATGGGCCCCTCCTCAACCCTTCTGTCTCCACCAGCTCCCGCCCCCAGGTGTCCCACCTGCTATAACTCAGGCCAGGTGGCACTGTTCCCTATGAATTAGAATTCTCTTTTTTTGTCTTTTTGAGACAGGGTCTCGTTACACAGTAAAGACTGGCCTTGAGCTCACTTTGTAGTCCAGGCTGGTCTCGAACTCTCAACGACACTCTTGCCTCAGCCTCCCAAGTGCCGGGATTACAGGTGTGGGTACCACGCCTGGCGAGAATTCTCATTTGCTGCCTCAGTTTCCTCAGGGTATCTCTGTCCTTCAAGTTGAGGTCTTTTACAGAGAAGCCCAAGCTTTTGCCCATACGTAGGGACTTTATGAGTCCCTAGTTCCCTGCCACACCCAACCCAACACTTCAGTGGACAGCAAAGGTGCCCCCACCCTCGCTCCTTGCCCTGCAGACTTCACAGAGAAGCCCTTGCCCCTGCCTGGCCAGTGAGGGTCGCCTAGAACGGCACTTTATTTTCTTTGTTCGGATTCTACTTGTTCAAATCCCCTCACCTAGTCTCTGGGCCACAAAGCCATCTGTCATTTGTGGGGTTGCTTTTGTTTGTTTTTGCAGTACTGGAGATTAAGCCCAGGGCCTTTGCACTGAGCTACATCGCCAGCCCTTTTCATTTTTCATTTTGAGATAGGGTCTCAATAAGTCACTAAGTTGCCCAGGCGGCGCTGGAACTTGTGATCTCCTGCCTCAGCCTCCCAGAGTGCTGGGATCACCGGCATGTGCTACCATGCCTGGCTTCATCCATCATTTGTTGTTGCCTCCTGCTTGAAGTCTCACCCTGTGGAGGGTCCGACTTCTGTCCTCCTCGCCCGCCTCTGTACCGCACGTGTACTCAATTCCAGGCCTGGGGCTATGCAGCGTCCCCCTCCCCGCAGAGTCAGCCTTGCCACCTCCCATCGAGCTCCTGCCTCCCTCTCCAGGCCTCTGTGTTTTTCCTTACCCCGCCTGCGCCCTCCACCTTCATCAGAGCCAGCCCAGCTGCCCCGGTTCACGTTCCCCGCTGAGCCCAGCTTACCCGACAGAAGCAGACGCGCAGCCCTGGTCCACAGCCCCCAGCAGCAGCACCAGAATCCAAACTGGAGAAGCCATGAGGGATTCAGAGGCTGCCCTCGGGAGGAGGGGAGGCACAGTGAGGAGCCTGGGCCGCTCTGTCTCCCCCCTCCCGGGCACTGGGGACTGAACCCAGGGCCTTCGCATTGAGCTACCACTCCAGCGCTTTTTATTTTTTATTTTGAGACAGGGCCTCAAGTTACTAAGTTGCCCAGGCTGGTCTGGAACTTCCAGATTTTACTGCCTCAGCCTCCCAGGGTGCTGGGATTACAGGCATGTGCACCACCATGCTGGGCTCCTGGTCACTATTACACACTTCTGTGCTGCCCTGATTGGCACCCTTCACAGGAGACAATGAGAAAACAGAAAATACAAGAAAACCCTGCAAAATAAAAGCTATAACAGTGAAATTGAACATCCAATAGAAGAATTAAAAATCAAAATTAAGGGCTGGGATATAGCTCAGCGGCATAAGCGCTTGCCTGGCAAGCCTGAGGTTATGAGCTCAATTCCTGATACCAAAAAAAAAAAAAAAAAAAAAAAAAAAATCAGGGGAAACAAAATAGGGAAGAAGCCGGGTGTGGTGTTACATGCCTATAATCCCAGCACTCAGGAGGCTGAGGCAGGAGGATCATTGTAAATTGGACACCAGCCTGGACTACAAAATTAGCTCAAGGCCAGCCTGAACTCCATAGCAAGACTCTGTCTCAAAAAGACAAAGCAAAGCAAAACAAAACAAAAAAACAAAATAGGGAAGAGAAAGAAAGGAGAGAGACATGGGAGATCAATACAGGAAGCCTCACATTAAACAAAAAGAACTCAGGAAGAGAGAACAAAGGAAAAGAAATTCTTTTACTTTGTTTTCTTTTGAGACAGGGTCTTGCTGTCTGGGCTGGCCTTAAATTCACTATGTAGCCTAGGATAACCTTGAACTCACAACAGCCTCCTGCCTCAGCCTCCTGAGTGCTGGGATTACAGGTGTGCGCCACCATATCCAATTGAAGAAATTATTTTAAAAGAGAAAAACACACAAGAAATCATCCCAGACCTGAAATACTCAGGGGATGCACCGAAGGGCACATGGGAAATCTGAGAATATCAAGGGCGAGGGGAGGATCCGAAAACCCTTCCAGATAGAGAACAGGCCACATACTGAGGATCAGGAATCAGCATGGCATCAAGGTTTCCAGAGGCAACCATGGATTCCAAGTGGTGGCGGAACATTGTCTGCAGGGTTCCAGCAGAAAGTCACTTCAACCTCAAAATTCTATAACGGGCAACAGTAGCAAAGGCAACTCGAGGGCCAAGCCCTGAAAGCGGCCCGGGGCAGAGAGTCAAAGGGGACAACCACAGAGGACTGCAAACAGGTTCTGCCTCCATAGTAAGCATGGAAATACTGACGCAGCTCTGCCCTTGTAAAAATCTCTGCTTCCGCCCTGGAGAATAAAGGTTGGCTGGAAGTTAAAACAAAAACCTACAGCTATCATATTGACCAAAACGTAAAAGATTGATAATGTTAAGAGATGGACAGCATGAAGGTAGACACAGTCAAGTACTCTGATGATCAAAATGTATGTTGGGGCCCTCTGGGAGGCTGAGGCAGGAGGATCACAAATTTGAGTTTAGCCTGGACAACTTGACAATTTAGAGACTTAGTGAAATCCTGCATCAAAATAAAAAGTAAGACCGGGCGTGGTGGCACATATCTGTAATCCCAGTGCTCAGGAGGCTGAGGCAGGAGGATTGTTGTAAGTTTGAGGCCAGCCTGGGTTACAAAGTGAACTCAAGGTCAGCCTGAACTGCATAGAGAGTCTCTCTCTCTAAAAGACAAAATCAAATCAAAACAAAGCAAAACAAAACAAAAGCATGTTGGAAGGCTATTTGACACTGTTACAAGTGTTTTTTCAAACTCTGGTTATTCATTCATGGGATAGTAGGAATTATAAAAGTGAGAAATAATAAAGCTCCGTGAACAAAAAGAATGTGACTTGACAGTGGCTCTTAAATGTCACATTTGCTTATTTTAGTTTTTCTTCTTCATTCCTTTTTGAGATGTGATGCCACTATGTTGTTTAGATTGTCCCTGGACTCCTAAGGTCCAGCAATCCCCCTGCCTCAGCCTCCCAAGTGGCTGGCACTACAGTCACACACCAACACACTGGGCAGATGTATACATCGTTGACCCAACATTCCCTTTCTAGGACTCTTCTCATAGAAACACCGATACCTTTATGCAAATATATACCTACCTAATTAAAAGTGTTAATTGTAGTATTGTTTACAATAGGAAAAACATCTTCGAGATGACTTTAATGTTTGCCAGTAGATTTGTGGTTAGTTTGTAAAAAATATAATACAGGCATTAAAAAGAAAAGTGCTCCTCAAAAATAGAATTACCATATGTATTAGTTAGCTTTTGTGTTGCCAGAACAAAATACACACACGGTCAGGTGTGGTGCTACACACCTGTAATCCCAGCACTCAGGAGGCTGAGGAAAGAGGATCATCTTGAGTTCAAGGCCAGCCTGGGCCTCAAAGTGAGTTCAAGGCCAGCCTGAACTGCGTAGTAAGATCCTGTCTCAAGAAGACAAAAACGAAATCAAACAAACAAAACAAAATTCACACACAACTTTAAGGAAGAAAATATTTGTTTTGGCTCATGGTTTTGGAGTTCTGTGCATGGTAGGCTGGCTCCAAGGCAGAAACACCATGGCTGAAGGGCGGAAAGGTGTGGTAGAGAAAAGCTGCTCGGTTCCTGGCAGCTGGGAAGCAGAGAAGCGGGGAGGAGCCGGAGAGGAAATGGACAGGGACCAGATATAATCCCCAAAGTCGCGCCCGCAGCACCCACCCAGATGCACCTGGAAGTGTGCTTTACTGATCTCCCAGGCTTCTCTCAGACCAACCAAGGTGACAACCAAGATTAACTGTCACACGGTATGACCCAACTTTCCAATTCTAGGTATACGTTCAAGAGATTGAAGGAAAGATCTGGAAATTCTTTTCTTTATCCAGAAGGGGAAGATGGGGAGACAGGGAATAAAGTGGTGTTGTTTAGTGAGGTACAGAGATTGTTTTGCAAGATGGAAGAGTTCTGAGGTTTAGGGGTGTAACTCAGTGACAGAGGGTGTGCTCACCTAACCTTCCTAAGTCCCTGGGTGTGATCCCTAGCATTGGAAAAAGGAAGGGAGGAAGGAAGGAACAAAGGAAGGAAGGAAAGAAGGAAAGGAAAGGAGGGAAGAGGAAGGAAGGAAGGAAAGAAAAAAAAATGAAAAGAAAGAGGAAAGAGAAAGGAAAAAGAGAAAGGAGGGGAAGGAAAGGGGCAAGTAAGTTCTGGAGACTTGCAATCCTCCTGTCTCAGCCTCAGGAGGTGGGGGGTGGTGACGGTTACTGAGCAGTGTGAGTGTCCCTGACACCACTGAAGTAGCTAAGATGCTAAATGCGAAGTAATGTATATTTCACTACAATTCATAAATAACTTTAGAAAGCCTTACTTGACACTATGACTTGGTAATATGATACTGTTTATTAAAGTTTATTCTTGGTTAAAAATAGGGAAAAAGAAACTGTTGTGGGTATTGTGACAGTAGAAAAGGCAACTACATATCTTATTAAGTGGAAGAGGTGAGTCACAGGAAGACAATCTGTATGGTGTGATCCCATTTATGTAAAGTCTCTAATGAGTATGGGGCATATGTGTGTTTATTTTATTTATTTGTTTATTTGGTACTTTGATTGTTTGGGGTTATTTTTGTTTTTTTGGTCTTCTGGTACCAGGAATTGAACTCACGACCTTGGGCTTGCCGGGCAGGCGCTTTGCTCCTGAATTAAATCCCCATCCCCTATTTGGTACTTTGAGACAGGGTCTTGCTATGTAGCGCAGGCTGCCCTTGATCTCACTATGTAGCCCAGGCTGGCCTCAATCTTGTGATGATCCTCCTGCCTCAGCCTCCTGAGTGCTGGGATTACAGACGTGTGCCACCACGCCTGGCACATACGTTTAGTACATATACACTCGTGCCCCACAGCACAACATTTCTGCATATATGATGATCATCCCAAAAGATTATAACACATCTGAAAATGTCCTATTGCCTAGTGACATCATAGTTATCCTAGTGTCCTAATGTCTTAGCACAATGCATTGCTCACATGCTTGTGGCGACCCTGGTGGAAATGAACCTACTGCATTGCCAGTTGTTTAAAAGTACATGTAGCTTGCCTAGCATGTGAGTTCCATCCCCAGCGTCACAAACAAACAAGCGAACAGTTTCCGGTTGAACAGTCTGCTGTGTCGTGCCAGCTCCACAGCTCCAGCCAGCCCGAGTTTACTGCGTCTCATGGTGACATGAGGAGGCCACCTGCAGCGGCTGACTGCACCATCTAGAATTGTGTAAGTGCAGTCTGTGATGTGCCAACAACATAACCGCCTGATGACGCATGTCTCAGAACACGTCTCCTGGTGGAGCACCACATGCTGTACATAGGGAGAGACAGACAGGCCGGATTAGAGGTACATGTGTAGACCCAGGATGGAGGGGTTGAACCCAGAGCCTTTGCACTGACTTACATCCTCACCTTTTTAAAAAAATTTTTACCTAGAGACAGAATTTACTAAGTGGTTAGGTTACCCAGGCTGGATTTAAACTTGCAATCCTCCTGCCTCAGCCTCCCATAGTGCTGGGATTACAGGCTTGGGCTACCACACCTGGCTCAGCCCCATTTTTATCGGCTTCATAAATGGCAGGTCTATATAAAATCTCAGCCAGGGGGTGGTTTTCCTGGTTTTTAAAAACCCACTGAAGGTGGAGGTGGGGCTCAGGGAGGTAGAGCACGTGCTCAAGGTCCTGGGTTTGATCCCCAGCACCCAACACAAAACAACCCCCCACCCCCACCCTTGCCGAGTGTACACACAGCTCATGAGACCGGAGGGTGAGGTCTGGCCAGTGTGCTGAGCTGTCCTGGCTCCAGAGTTCCCGACCCTGCTACATGCAGCTGTTCCCGAACCTTCCATTTCACTCTTTTTGCCTTGGCAGCCCGACTCCATCCCCACTATCAAACCTAGGCTCGAGGTCCCGGCCTTTCCCTGGTCGTTATTCTGAGCTGTCTGAGAGGGGTCAGCATAGTCTTGCACAGTGTGCAGGAGGAAGGTCAAAAAGCCTTTTGTAAGCTGTGTGTGATGGTACACATCAGTAATCCTAGCTACTCAGGAAGCTGAGGCAGGAGGATACCAATTTTCAGGCCAGCCTGGGCAAATTAGTGAGAACCTATCTCAAAATTGAAAAAAAGAAAAAAAAAAAAAATTAAAGGGCTGGGAATGTAGCTCCGTGTGAGAGAGTAAGATACAAGGGTCCAATCTGAGGGGACAGAGCCCTGGGCCTCTTCGGGTCCCATCCCAAGCCTTATCTACTGCTCCGCCATGCGGGGTCATCAGAGTAGTGACCAGAGGGGGTAGGGCCAGGAGACAGTTAACCCAGGGAGGAGCGGCAGCGGCGATTGATCCCCAGCCTCTCCTTGTTGGGCAATACGTCCTCTGACGGCTGCTTCTGCTGACCTCCCTGGCACCAGAGAGCTGGGCGGTTGCAGCTTCCAGTCGGCCTGGAGGTTGGGAGGACTGGAGCTCAGCATGGACAGGAAGTTGGGGGTGGCCCACTGCGTTCTGTATTTGGGGGAGCCAGGGGCGGGCAAGGCTGCAGAGACCCTGAGACTTGATAAGCTCGGGAGCTGCAGGAATATAATATGAGAGGCTGGGATTTGGGAAGACGCAAGAAACCACCCTAGTAAAGACGCAAGTCCCACCCTAGGATCCCACACACACCCCTGCTCTGCACGTCTTTGGGCACTGTCCTCACCTTTCTGCACCTTCATTCCATTTTACAAAGGGAGAGAGATTAAATCAGCACAGTCGAGGCTTTTTAAAATCAAAAATCTGGGTCAAGGATACAGCTCAGCAGCACAAGTGCTTGCCTGGCAGCATAAGGTCCTGAGTTCAATTCCTAACACCCAAAGAAAAGAAAAAAATCAGAAATCTACATTTGTAGCTACATGATTTTCTTTTTCCTTTCCTTTTCTTTCTTTCTTTCTTCCTTTCTTTCTTTCTTTCTTTCTTTCTTGCTTGCTTGCTTGCTTGCTTTCTTTCGATCTTTTCTCGCTTATGTTGCCCAGGCTGGCCCTGAACTCTTGGGACAAAGCAATCCTCCTGCCTCAGTCTCCCAAGTAGCTAGGATTATAGGCGTGCACCACCACACCTGATTTGGTAATTAATTTTTTTCAAGGTACTGGGGACTGAACCCAGGGCCAATTGCATTGAGCTACATCCTCAAGCCCAATTTTATTTTAGACAAGATCTTGCTGGGGGCCGGGCATGGTGGCACACACCTGTATTCCCAGCACTCAAGACGCTGACCAGGAAGATTGTTGTGAGTTCGAGGCCAGCCTGGGCTACAAAGTGAGTTCAAGGCCAGCCTGAACTGCATAGCGAGACCTTGTCTCAAAAATACCAAAAAAAACCCCAAAAAACAACAAAAAAAGATCTTGCTGAGTTGCCCATGTTGAACTCGAACTTGTGATTCTTTTGCCTCAGCCTCCAAGAGTGCTGAAATTATACCTGGCTAATTTTGAACAATCAAGAAACCAGTTTACAGACATTTGGATGTGACTCTTCTAAGGTGGGAAACCACCACTCTGTTTTTCTGTTGTCAGTGTTATGGCTTGTGTTTAAATTCCCACCACCACCAGCCAAAAAAAAAAAAAATCTTCATGCAGTCATAGGTGGAGTTTTTTAGAGGCGGCTGGATCTAGAGTGTGTGATGCTGGAATTGACTCATGGTGCAATGCTAGACTCGAGGGCACTAGGATTAAGGGTGTGAGTGTTACCCACCCTGGGTAGCCTGGATAAAATAAAAGAGGTAGAAAGATGCTGTTAAGGCCCCTTACTTGCCCTGACTACCTTCTGCCCACCAGGAATTGTTTCTCCTCTGAGATTCCACCCTGCCTTGGAGCCAGCCAATTATGGGCTGAGACCTCTACAAACTGTGAGCTAAATAAACCTTTCCCTCTTTAACGTTAGGTGTCGGGTACTTTGTCTCAGCAGCAAGAGAAAAGTAACTAAGACACCAATAATCTATAACGTCAGTTTTATGGTGGAATTAGCCTTAACCAGATTGCAATAATACCACTAATATTCAGCTTTGATTCCAGTGGTGGAAGGGTCCCTGTTAGCTAAGTCAGACTGAAAAGTCGTAAGGACTCAGGTGACCTGTGGGAGCCAGCCCAGGCAGCTCCGTTTGGTCACCTTGATGGTCAGCTGGAGAGCACCCAGGCTCACACATAGGGTTGAGCTGGCCCCTCCCTGCGGGACTTGGGTGGCTTGGTGGGTGGGTGGTGGGCTCCTGTTTCCTCCTCTGCAAAATGGGGACCCCTTTCCATCCCTACCTTCCTCATGGGGTTAAGACAGCAAAAGAAGGAATGCCAGGAGAGCTCCTTGAAAATCACCGAGCTCCTATAGCAGCAGGCAGCACTGTCAGACAGTTAAACAACCCTCAGTCTCAGAACTGCCGTGCCCTAGCTCCTGTCCCCGCCAGGAAGTCAGCAGAGCTGGCTCCGTCACTTGCCTAGTGGAACTTGGCTTCCCCATGTGACAGATGGGGGTAACATTCAGTGTGCTGATGCTTCATGGCGTTATGATGGGAATCACAGCCGGTCATGTGGATGCCAGAGACCCAGTGTGATATTAATTAGCGCCATCATCAGCAATATCAGAGGAAGTCCCTCCTCTGGGGGACCTCTTAAAACCTCGCCACACCCCTCAGTGTGTCTGCACCTCTCAGCCAGACTCTCTGGGCCCCATGAAGTTCTCGATTCAGCGGTTCTTTTCTTCCCAGGCCTCGGGGCTGCCCCATCTCTGCCCTCACTCACACACCAAGCTGACCGTGTCTAATTTAACGCCTTTCCATCTCCCCCCCCCCCCCGCCCCAGGGGACTGTGCGCTTCCGAGACTCTGGCTATGTGTGGCACAGACTGAGTGTCATGTCACATTTTCTGGCACCCAGGGCAAAGGGTTGGCATCCCACAAGTGTGGAACGAATCCCTTCTAGCACACTCAGCCCAGGGGTGGTCATAGAATTCTGGCTCAGCGGCTACTATTTTTAAAAATTGAATGCAGTCAGGAGCCTGAAGAGAAGCAGAGGAATAAAGTCGGTGACCCTGAATCCTGGAGAGAAAAAAGAGCCAGCTCCTCTGTGCTGGGATGCCTGTGTCTTAGGCAACAAATCAAGCCGAGGGGTGGACAAGACTTTGGAGTTATGAGTCCTAAATCTTTTGTTCAGGTCCCAGCTATCAATTACTAGCTGGATTCCTCAGACTTAAGAACAAGTCTTCCAGATCCAATTTCACCAACCGAAGGGGAGGTTTGTCCCTTAGTGACCCACAGCAGTGAGGAGATGTCAGATGTCACTTGTGCAAACCACAGCACACAGATTTGTATTGAAATGCCAGCGATCGGAGGGAGACCTCAGGGATTTTAAAGCTTTTAACTTCTCTAGCAGTTCCCAGCAGTGCCTGAAGAGGGCACTGTAGCCCAGGAGCTACTGTAGGCTGGCCAAGGGGAAATTTTGGGGAGTGGGGAGTCCTCTCCTTGCCAAGTCCTCTTACCTCAGCTTGACCTTGCTCTCTCATCTCCCCAACATCTGGCAAATATAGTACCCTCCACCTTCTAGCCTGCTTTTATTTTTTGTTCTGTCTCTGTCTCCCTCTCCGTCCTTTCCTTTTTTAAAATCCAGTCCTGGAACGCAAGCCCAGGGCCTTCACACTGGACTACATCCCTATATCCCTAGCCCTTTTTATTTTTCATTTTGAGACAGGGTCTCACTAAGGTGCTAAGTTTCCCAGGCTGAGTTCGAACTTGCAATCCTCCGGCCTATAGTTTTTCCTGCCACAGATTACAAAAACATTTTCCCTCTTTTGCTTATGTACAGAGATACTGGCTGACATCTCCATGTTTTGTTTTAGATGCAGAAAGAGCAGCCACCATATACAGGATAATGGCCACAATCAGGGTCCCCACACAGTTTTATGGCATCTTTTGCTGGCCGCACCGGTCTCTCCTGGGTGAAACTTTCTTTCCCGGTGAAGCATTACTTCTGGGAAGGAATAGAGTCACTGTCAGGGTCAAGGGCAAAATCAGAAGTAGGGTCAAGAGTGGAGGCTGCAGCTGAGCATGCTGGCACACACCTGTAACCCCGGCACTGAGAGGCTGAGGCGGGAGGATCACAAGTTAGAGCCCAACCTAGGCAAATTTATCGACTTAGCTACACTCTACCTCAAAATGAAAAGCGAAAAAAGGGCTGGGGATGTAGCTCAGTGGGGAGACCCTGAGCTCATTGTGATGAATTCCTCCCACCCTGCAGAAAAGGGTGGAGGCTGGGTTTCCCGCCTCCAAGGTCTATGCCCGTGCACTGCGCCCCCGGGCAGTGAGGCAGCCGAAAAGAACAGAGGGAGTGGGGGGGAATTGGGGGTCTGTTTTCTCGGCCTGGAACAAGTTACTTCTTCCTCTGCTCCACGGGAACCGATGGAAATGGCATCAGGACCTTTGCGTAGGGCTGTGTAAGCACATATAGGGGACCGCCAGGGTGGCGCTTGTCACAGAGCAAGGGCCCAGTAAGACAGCTGCCCATGAAGGTGGCTCTCACGGAGCTGCGCCTGTCTACCTGCCCTTCTGCAAGGTGCAGGGTGGGCCCTGAGTGCAGTCCCCAGGCCACTAGATTTAAAGAGGGGTTACATGCTGAGCTCCGAGGCTGATACAGGGATGTTGTAGGACCCAAAGGGGCCAAGAGGAGAGGCAACGAATAGTAAGGGTCCGGTAGCCCCTTTCCAAAGGGGACCCTCCCTTCTTCCAGCTCCCGTTTCCTCGATGGAAGCCTCAGTGCCCTAAGCGATTGTTGTGGCGGCAGGCTGGCGGGCTGGCAGCTGCCCACTGAGGGACAGCCTTGACTGGGGCCTCCTTATTGACCAGCGTGGGCAGAGCCTGTGGCCTCGGGCCCAGTGGGGTCAAGAGGTCACCTGGGCTATGCGAGGCAGCACGTAGGGCCCAGCCCCCTCCATCTCCGGCTTCCCAGATCTGGCGCCCTGCTGCCAGGATGGGAGAGGGGGCTTCTGGGAAAACAGAACAGCCAAGGGCCATGTTGGTGGATTCAGCTCTTAGCGGTGAGGTTTTAAAAACACAAAAAACTTAGACACACACTTCCATGAGAGCCAGGAGCCGGCCCCTGTCCCATCTTTCTAGCCCCCGCCCCCATTGTCCAGTGGGCTCTGCGGCCATGGGAGTTGCCACAAGACCTGGAGAATTCATGTTTGCCACTTAATTCTCCAGTCCATCCTGTCCCTGCTCCGAGGGTGCAGAAAGAAGCGTCGGCCTCCAGAGCCTGTGTGGTGTCACAGTCCCGCAGGGCACCGCGTGAGGCCGGCTGTCTCCTCGGCGCAGCTCTGCCCAAGTTTAAAGCTTGTCTCTCCTGCTCTGGGTCTCAGGCTGGTCCTGTGACCCCCTCAGATCTGAGTTGAGCTCTGGACAGTTTCTCTGGCCCTCGTGATGTCACTGCTGGCACTGGAGTGTCGGTGTGATAGTCGGCTCTGGGGAGACAGCCCCTGGGGGCTTGGGGGTGGCAGAGGGGAGGCGTGGCACAGGCGGTGGTGGCGGTGGCAGTGGTGAGCAGGCTGTGGATGAGCCCAGGAGAGGCACCTGGTCACCTGTCCCCTCTCCTGCAGGCCTCCCCTGTGTACAGCTTCAGTTTCCCCCGGAGGAAATTGGAGTAGACTCGGAAGAGTTTGCACAGAGTATCAACAGTGAATGTTCGGAGTGGAGCAGGGGAGGCTGCATCTGGAGGCAAGATGGGTTCTTTCTGCCAGGGGAGAACAGGAGGTTACCATGGTGCTGGGGACCCGGATGGAAATGGGATCAGCAACAGAATGGGGGACATGGAGAGCACCAGTATTCCTCAGCAGGGTCCTTTTCCCCACTTTTTTTCTTTTTTACAGGACTGGGGATTGAGCTCGGGGTCTTTGTACTGAACTAGCCTTTTTTTTTTTTTTCGTCTTTTTTGAGACAGGGTCTCACTATGCAGTTCAGGTTGGCCTTGAGCTCACTTTGTAGCCCAGGCTGGTCTCGAACTTGCAACGATCCTCCTGCCTCAGCCTCCTGAATGAACTAGCCTCTTTAGGCTAGCCTTTTTATTTTTTGTTTTGAGACAAGGTCTCGCTAAGTTCCTGAGTTGTCCAGGCTGGGCTTCAACTTGCAATCCTCGTGCCTCAGCCTGCCAGAGTGCTGAGATTACAGGCACGGAGCCACTACACCCGGCCTTTTTTCCTCTGTCTTACAGAAAGGTCAAGTGGAAATGCCCACACCCCTCCTGCTCACCTGGGCCCCTAGAGCACGGAGCAGGGAGGTGAGGCTGCGAAGGCCGCTGATGGCTTTGTCCATATGCAGCCGCAGGGTCTCTGACTGCTGGGAAGAGTTGGCCAGCAGTCCCTGGCCCCGCAGGATGGCTTCCGAGAGCAGCGCCAGCCCTTGCCACACCTCTGAGGCTTGCTGCCCCACCTAGAGGAGCAGAGAGTTGGAGTCAGCTACCCCAGGTCACCTCCTCCCTCCTCCCTGTCCTGTGCACCAAGCTGAGCAAACAGGTTTGCAATAACATTTGTTGAATGAATGAATGAATGAGTAGCATCTTTGCTACTTGGTTTTCTTCACTCATTTTCCACTCTGGCAGGAAGACACACACACACACACACCAAGAGGAAGGAAGAATTTCACTCACCTCCATCCTGTTCCAGGCATAGAAGTGCACTTTGGTGTCTGGGACGGTGATATTCTCACCCAGGCTGCAGCCCTCTGTGCAACTCATCTGAAAAGTACAGTGGGGGCCTCAGCGCCCCCTGGGACTGTGGCCCTTGGCCCAGGGCTCCCTGGCTTTGCGCTCTGCTGAGCTTCCAGACATGCTTTGGGGGACACCAGGTTTATCTTATGGGGGAATCTGGCTTCCACCTCCGCCTCGAATCAAGCACCCGGTTCCTGGACCTGGGAGGAGACCCCTGGAGCCCCGAGTCAGTCCGTGGGGTGTTGCAGGGAGGGGGCCTCACCGTGACGTTCTCGGCGTCTTTGGCCTCCAGGATGTATCTCTCCAGGACTCTGCTGTCACAGATGAGGCGTGGGGGGGCGTCCAGGGGGGCTGGGAGTCCCAGAGGAAGCAGCAGCAATGACAGCAGGAGCCAGGTAGGACATTCTAGAAGAAACGCAGGCTGAGAGAGTGGCCGGGTTCTGCCCCCAGCCAGTCCCCGCCGGCGACGGCCGTGCAAGCGCGCAGCCTTCATTCAATTCCTCGGCGCGCGCACACCCCACCCCCCGCGCCCGGCATCTACTTCTCGGGCCAAACTTCAATCCCGGTGCGCGCCAGAGCAGATCCCGCCTGCTGCTCCAGGACCCAGGTATCCGCTGATCGACTTGCTCCCCACCCACAGACCGGCGCCTCTCCTCCCTGAACCCTCAAACCTCGTTCCCGGCTCTGGATCGGGTTTTGGCCATTCCAAAGACCCCCCAAGTCCTGCCCGGCACGTGGAGGCCGCCCCACCCCCCTTCCCCTTTCCGCGGGTCCTTGGCGAGTAGCGGGTCTTTGAACCCAACCCGCCCCGGCTGCCCCGGGGTAAATCCCCCCTCCTCCCGCAGCCCGCGAACACTCACCGCGCGCCCCCATCTCCGCGCCTGGCGGGGCCCTCAGCGACCCGGGGCTCGGCCGGCGCCCACGCTGGGAGCCCTCATCCCGGGAAGCTCGGTGGGACAGGGACACCCCACGGGCCTGGAGGAGGAGGGTCACCGGCTCGTCGCGGCCGCCCAGCCGGGGGTCGGAGGAAAGCAGGTCCCGGAGGACAGCGCGACACAGCGACCGGCCAGGGTTGGTCCGGGGACACTGCGGCTCCGGCGGGGGTCGGGGCTGTTATCAGCTTGTGTGCGTGCGCCGTGGGGGTGGGGGTGAGGCTGTGTGCGTGAGGGGTCGCCAGAGGTGGGGGCCACTCGGGGTCACAGCCGGGGGCAGAACGCCTGGGTCGGGGGTTCGCGGGGCCAGGGCAGGGCTGCTGGAGGCGCGCGTGCAGACACGGGGCGCGCTGGGCCCGGGGACCCGGGGTCCTGGGGCGGGCGGGATACCTGGCTCCGGGCTGGAGGCACCGACCTGGGAAAGGCTGCGGACCTCCATGCCTGCCCTGAGGTGGGGGCTGGGGGTGGGGGCGCTCCAGTCTTCGTCAGGCGCTCAGAGTTGCTGGGTTCCTGGGTTCCTTCCTTCACAATCGGGGCACCATTTAAAAACCACCGTGGTCCATGTTAAGGAATTGGATGGCGGCAAACGGAGTGAAGAATTTGGGGTTCTCCCTCAATCCTCACTTCACTTCCTAGGACCTTGAAAACCCAGAATGGTAAGTTTCAGAACACTGGTAACCTGTTCAGGACACTCCTGTGTTTTGACATCAGCTGTTTTGATTTGTTTTGTTTTGGAGACAGGGGCTCACTACATATACCACACTGGCTTGGAATTCACTAGGTAGCCCAGGCTGACCTCAAACTCATGGCGATCATCCTGCCTCAGCCTCTTGAGTGCTGGGATTACAGTTGTGAGCCACCATGCCTGGCCAGCTTTCTTTTCTTTTCCTTTTCTTCTTTTTTTTCTTTCCTCTCCTTTCTTTCTCTCCTTCCTTTTCTTTTTTCTTCCTTCTTTTCTCTTTTTTCTCATACTGGGAGTTGAATCCAGGGCCTTTGCACTGAGCTACATCCCCAACCCTTTTTAAATTTTGAGACAGAGTCTCACAGAGACACTAAATAGCCCAAGTGAAGCTCAATGTGTGATCCTACTGTCTCAGCCTCCCCCAAGAGTGCTGGAATTATAGGCGTGCACCACCGTGTCCAGTTGACATCAGGTTTCTTGACCTGTGATATAGGTTACTCAGTTGGCAAAATTCTTACAAGCTTTCAAATTGACCTGATCCTAGGAGTGATTGCAGTTGAGATTTGCAGGTCAGCATTTGTGGCTTCTGGAAACTTTGAGGCAGAGGGCCCAAGCTGCCCAGAGCCAGAGTCCCATGCTTTCTGGTCTTTCTAACCTTAGAAAGTGGTCTCAGCGCTGGAGCCTCTGTGTTCTCACATGTCACATGGGTATGATTGAAAGCACCATCCTTATCTCACTGAGAGGTCATCAAAAACAGTCTTAACTGGGCATGGTGGCGCACGTCTGTAATCCCAGCACTCGGGAGGCTGAGGCAGGAGGATCCTTGCAAGTTCAAGACCACTCTGGGATACAAAGTGAGCTCAAGGCCTGCCTTTACTACATAGCGAGACCCTGTCTCAAAAAGACAAAACAAAACAAAAACACAAAAACCCCACAGAAAAACAGCAGTCTTACAACACTTGGGGTTATACCTAGTCCTCCGCTCTCCATCAGTCACGTGATACTAGAGCTCTCTGATGAGTGCATTCAGTGCCTACTTTGTTTCTTGTTTATTTTTTTTCTGGGTTGGGACTCGAACCTAGGGCCTGGCGCACACTCTGCAAGTGCTGTACCGCTGAGCCGCACCCCCAACCTCCATACCTGCTTTGCGCATGACCCTTTGCAAGACAAAAAGAAGTGTTGAGACCTAACTCCGGCCGCCTGGAGTTTGTAGCATGCGCAGACTGAAGTGAGTTGGGTGCACAGGGCAGTGTGAGGGCTGCGGCCCACGGAGCTGCGCTGTGCGGAGAGCTCAGAAGGGGGCGCTCCCTGCAGCTGGGGAAGGAAAACCGAGGGGATGCGGAGGTGAGCGGGATGCTGGCTCGACCAATGGGCGGGGTTCCAGTGGAAACAGTGTGGGGGCGGGGGAGGGGGCGGCTCGAAGAGCTGCGGGAGCGTGCAGTGGGGGCGGAGGAGGGAGAGCTGGGAGGTGAGGCCAGAGTGCGGTTGGGGAGGAGTCAGGTTGTGAAAGGTCTTGAATGCCACCCTGAAGAATTTGGATTGCTTTTATTTTTTTTTTTCCGGTACTGGGAATCGAACTCATG